ATGGTGGGGGAAATGAGGCGGTGAATGGCAAAGAATAATGCAGCTAACGGGTCACACTGTGCCTGGGCAGGAAGCAGAGAGATGAGGGCAGCTGACCCACCCCCATACCCCCCCCCCGTTTTCCTTTTAAATTGAGTCTGTGACTCTAGCCCGTGAGACAATACTGGTCACATTTAGGTTGGGTCTTCCCTCCTCAGTTAGACATCTAAGGACACGCCCACGTAGCCATGCCCACATGCATGTCTCTCAGGTAACTCTAAATCTCATCCATCTGATAAGCAAGCCAACCATTACAAGTATAGTGTTGGTATCAGGATAGACACAGAGACCAAGGAAACAAAAGAATGGCCCAGAAGTAAACCAGTATACACACTATCCAACAACTTCCCAAGGTAAATCAGAGGTAGAAGGGATGGAACTGGATGGCCATGGGAGAAAAATAAAACTGACAGCAACTAGCTGTGCCAGTTTGGGTGTAATTGGCCCTCACAATCTCATAGGGAGTGAGGGCACTATTAGGAGGTATGGCTGTGTTGTTGTTGGTATGGCCATGTTGGAGGAAGTGTGTCACTATGGGTTTGGGCTTTGAGGTTTTCCTATGCTCGGCACATCGCCCATGTCTCAGCCAACTTTCCGTTGCCTACTACTCCAGCATCTTATCTGCCTGCATGCTGTCATGCTCCCTGTTATGCTGATAGTGAACTGACTGTCTGAAACTATAAGCAAGCCACCCCAATTCAATGTTTTCTTTATAAGAGTTGCTATGGTCATGGTGTCTCTTCACAGCAATAGAAACCCTAACTAAGAGACTAGCTTAACACAGATGTGAGACATAAACATAACAGTGGAAACTATAAAGCTTTAAAAAGAAAATATGGGGAAAATTTAAAATCTTAAATTAACCAACAGATTCTTAAATAGGCCATATAAACATACATGCTAGAAATGAAAAAAATCACTAAGTTAATAGTCACTAAACTTTAAAGATTTTGTTCTTCTAAAGATACCATTTTTGTCGGGCATTGGTGGCACACGCCTTTAATCCCAGTACTCGGGAGGCAGAGGCAGGTGGATCTCTGTGAGTTTGAGGGCAGCCTGGTCTACAGAGTGATTCCAGGACGTCCTTCAAAACAATATAGAGAAACCCTGCCTCAGAAAACAAAAAACCTGCCGCACCTGCTGTGCAGCCTGTGTCTGAGAATGTGTGGAGGGTGTCAGGATTGATGACACAGAGACCAGTCGGTGGCTTCCAGAAGGCTCCTCAAGAAGGCTCTACTTTATTCCTACCCTGGCTGGATATACACCCTGACACCAGAGGCTGCGGTGGGTGGGTCAGAAAGAGGTGGTTAGTCTTTGGAAAAGGTCGAGGTCAGGGGGGTTCCCATGGGCGAGCCCTTATCAGGAACTTATTGCCCTGGCACTGTATTGTTTTTAGTAAACATGTTTTTAGTAAACATTGTCTTACAGCTGCCTACTCCCAGGGGAAGTGGGTCTCTGAACAAGGTCTGGTGTTCCCACAATTCCCCCTTTTATATTTTCTAATGAGGCACTCCTGTCTTAGGTCAAGTAGGGTCACCCTCCCTTATCTGTCTTTGGGGGACCTGGTGACCCCTGTCTTAGGAGGGAGGTCTCTTCCCCACAGGTTGCCCGACATCAGAGAACCTCATCCTTGAGTCATCTGTAACCAGACTTCATGGCTACCGGAATTGCCATGGGCTAAGCTGAGCAATACTTGGTGATGGATCTGTTGCCTAGGGAACAAGGCATGTGTGAACTTGGCATAAAGCCAGAATGCCTACCCCCACTGCCACCATTCCCAGGACCCCCATTGACATAGCGCCTCTCTGTCGCCTACCCATCCCCCAATCTGGGCCATAACATTCTACCAGCCTTCCTCTGTTACAAGGGTAACCCCCATGTGATTTACAGTTACAATTTGATGGCCAAAACAGTGATAAAGTTTACAATCGTTCCAAGATCTGCTCAGGAAAGCATTTAGAAAGTGCACTTGCACAGATACATTAGGTACACTCATTGATGTTACACATGTAGCATGATAAAAAATATGAACAAGAGGCTTGTTGCACTATCCACAGAGCACCAGTTTGTTCCTGTGGTGATGCAGTTTGTTGATTTAACATCGGCAGCCTCAGCTGAATATGCGACTTGAGCCAAAGTCTCCTTTTTGCTGCATTAGGACAAATTGCATTTCTCCAGAAAAATACACTGGCATAGGCGCAATTCCAGAAACAGGAACCACCAAGGCTGATATTTCAAGTGACCATATCCTGTTCAATTACTGACAAGGGGCTTTTGCCACTCATCACGGTCCATACCAGTGTCCAATTGTTTTAAATGGGTCCTTTTTCCCCAAAGGGAAAAACTGGCAACATGAATTCTGTTGTTTCAAGGTATGTCAAGGGCAGACTGTTAATCTTCCAGTTCTCTGTTGGCTTCGGGATGAAAACTCATGGGTCTGGGAGGTTGATGCAGTAGGCCTGTTGAGAAACTGGAAATCTCGAACCGACTGCATTCTTTCTTTCTTCGAGAACGTCAAGGGTCAGGAACACTGATTAAGGAGATCTCACTCGAACTGGTTAGGGTTAGGGTTAGAGTCTCAGGTCCAGTTTTTCTCTGTTCCATGCATCTCACCAAATGTTCTGACAGCTGCCGAACTTTATTCTTTTCCTGCAAGAAAACACAAACATGCCCTCGACCTCAAATTAGGGTCTTCTCCACTGTCTAGTGCATGGATGTCTCCATTTGACCAGAGCAAAAGTCGCTCAAGTTCCATCATGCCAGAATCTGTCTGGAGCAGATTGCTCACTTGTAGGCTTCAATGGGTGCTGTAACGATATGCGACACACAATTACTGAAAGTAAAGCTAAGTATTTAATGTAGAAATTACTCACAAGATACCAAACAAGTAACCCAGACGATACAAGCCGTTTCCTCTGCCGAGCCGGAAGCCGAACTCCAGGAAAAGAGACCGAGACTTCCTGTGTGCTGTCTTTTATACCTTCCCCCGTAACGCCCCCCTAGCCATGCCCAAAAGTGGGCCTGGCTAGTGACGTAGTTCCGCCTACGTACGTATACGTCTTTACGTCCAGCCGTATACATCTTTAGTCTTGCCTAAAGTGGGTGTGGTTAGCGGTGTGGTAAACCGCCCTTTTATTACCTCATCTGTATGCGCCTCTAATAAGTCACACGTTTAATGGCGGCATCAGACTTCCTCCTACACTCACTGACATTCACATTTTAAGAAAATTTTTGAGGAGTGATTTGATGAGTCATGTGGGGACTGGGGACATTCCCCCCCCCTCCCTTTTTTGTTTAAACTGTTTGCAAACATCTGTTGATGCTGGACTATAACAGTAGAAGGATTTGTCTACCCTCCTTAGTTAACTATCTAGGTGAATTGGGATCACTGTCTAGATTATTAGTAGATGCCCTTTAAAAAGGACATATCCATTAAGTATTTCCCAAAAACTTCTGAAAATCACTCAAAGATTGTAAACTATACTGTGTCCCAAATAACTTTCCAAAATTATTTGAAGTCTATGAGCAGTCTTTCCCAATCTAACCGGTAGAGCTCTCACTAGCTGCCTATTTGAAGTCTGTAAGCAGTCTTTCCCAATCTAACCGGTAGCTCTCACTAGGTGACAAGGCCTCATTTGCATCTACACAGACACCTTTGGGGGTGGGGCCTGACCAAGTGGCCGGTGCCTGAAAAAATCGACTGGCTCTGAAGACTTAAATCTTTTAACTTTTCTGTTAAGGCATTAACCGACTGGCTGGATGTTCCTTTTGGCTATATCTAAAGCAGTTTTATTTTTGAAGGGATTTAAGTATCCTTTTAATCATATAAGCAGTTCACACTCACGCATTCACAATCACATTTCATACATACCGGTGTGGCTACACCGTACATTCAGAACATACATACATCTTTTGGTCATCCTTTTTCCCTAAGTCATGATTAGTCTGTTGAAATGAAACTTCCTTAATTGAAATTTATGTAAAATAACTACTCCAGCCAATCCTTGAACTAGAAAGGTTAAAAAGTCCTGTACACCCCTCATCATTCCTCCATTTGAGCTACATTCAGGGGCTACAGCCATACCTACTCCTTGTAACTCTATTCCTTGTAACTCTGTAGATGCAAGGTGGAGAGGCCAGGCTTTTGGCCAAAAGTTTTTAGAGATGACTCACAAAATTGACCTTAAATGCAAACAAACTTTTTCCATTTCATATACCTTTGTCTTTTCCTTTTTCTTTACTTAATACCAGTATCTCTTTACTGTTAACAATTTTTTTGATTCACCCATTTTCTTTTATTGTTTTTTTTTTGTTTGTTTGTTGTTTGTTTTTTCGAGACAGGGTTTCTCTGTATTGTTTTGGACTGTCCTGGAACTCGCTCTGTAGACCAGGCTGGCCTTGAACTCAGAGATCCACCTGCCTCTCCTCCTGAGTGCTGGGATTAAAGGCATGCTGGTCTCATCCAACACTTTCTTCTGCCACTTAACCTCTTCTTTACTTGTGAATATATAAATTAATTACCTGATAGTAATTATCAATATAATTTTATTTGACATGAACATTTATCTCTGCTTGATTAGGTGAAACAGACATACATGCTTAGCTGAGAATTTCCTTTTTCAGGCTCTATGGAAAGCAGCAGAGAGGAAACAGCTTCCTTACTGCCATCTTCAGATGCTACTGGCTGTTTTTGGTAGGGCTAGACATTAATACTGACCAGTTTAGCTTTCCTGACTGTTAGCAAACTATCCCACGATGAACCTGCTCTCACACTTCAGGCATCGTGGAGATTCTTTAACACACATTTTCTAAAATATATGCTCAAAGTAAAAAGATCCAAATTCACAAGAGTATGAAGTATTTATTAAACATCATGCATCAGATTGAACAGCCTAGAAATAAGATTCAAATTCAGTAATAAAGGTGAGAGCAAAGCTTGCTCCAAATATTTAAGAAAAGCCTTAGATGCCCGGGAGGTCCCAGGTTTCAGTTGTCCTTTCCTGCAGAGAGGCAGCGGCCAGAGCTACAGCTGTGACTGGCTGGGCGACTCCATGGAGCTGCATCTTTGCAAGTTTCTTCTGTTCACAATCTGTGACCAAGCGGTTCAGTTCTGCTGCCCTGTATCCAATAAGAGTCTTCAAGTCACAAACAAATTTGTACACAAATCTCTTGCCTTGACCTTTACAGATCATGCCTCCGTCATAATAATACCGTAACGCACGGCTGAGTTTCTCATAGTTCGTCGTAGGCTTGTTTTTACGTTGTCCCCATTTTTGTGCAACCAATTCAGGCTGATTTAGCTTAAATTCACCTTCATCACCAACCCAAGAAATACAGTCTCGAGCATCCTTGTCAGTGAGAAGTTCTAACAGAAACTGCCACAGTTGGATCTGACCATTGTTTCCTAAACCTGTTCTGTTTCCGAGCGAGCTTCTGTCTTCCCCTGAAATCCCTGGGGACCTCTGCACTTTGGCCGTCTTTGCACTACTGTTTATAACTTTGAGTGTAGTTGGTGTATCGGACTGCGCTGATGCTGGGACGATTTGCACAGGCTGGTCAATTGTAACTATCTCATCCATCGGTTGTTCTTGGCTTGCCAGAACATATTTTCGAAGAAGCTCCAGATGACTCCAGAGAAGTTCTCCCCGAGAGACCCGCTGAAAAAAATCTTGGTTGAGACTGCATAATTCTCTTCCCGAAATGTTGAGTGTGGTGGGGTCATGCTGAACTCCTTCATTACCCAAACCACCCAATGCAGGACTTGGTCTGTGGACCACTGTATAGGATCGTAGGGGATCCCAAGGCGCTCCCGCTCTTTTCTGTAGCCTTCCAGGGCAGCAGCCCATCTCGTCACTCGCTCCGAGGTTTCATCGGAGATAGTAGTGATATGCTTGGTACCGTCAAGTGTTATCACTTGGGCTTCTTCAACAAGATGTGCTTCTGCTTCTGCATGGTGGGCATCCGGGTCAAAGACCACTTCAACCGTTTCCACCATTTTAGCAATTTCAAGAATGTTTAGGCTTGGCTCCATCCCTTGGTAAGAGAGTACCTGTACACTAAGCTGTACAGTTCCATCTGTTTTTACTCCTTGGTCAAACAAGCTCCGTTCTGGATCCAGCTGAATGTCTTACAGGCAAATTTCATGAGCGTCCAAAGAACACTGTAGTCTCGGCTCAAGTAGTTTCTTTAAATTGCCTATTGGTTCATTGATGTCGATGGCCTGGCTTACACATTCAGCTGGAGCGTAGGTCTGTTCCATGATGTTCTCTTCTGTCCACTCTGGTCTCTCAGTTCCAGCAATCTCAGTTTCTATCAGTTCTTCTGCTTCTCTCTTAGTCATGGCTGAAGTATTTCTAATGTTCAGTCCAGCTCCGGAATCCGCCCCGTGGCCCTCGGCCGCGCTCCAGAGCCTGCTGGGAACGGTGGAGGCGCGGGCTCCACGTGCAAACGCCTCTCCGGGTAAAGCCTCGCTGCTCCTGCGACTAGCAGACTCCCGGGGCCCTTCCCCGCGGAATCTGCGCCGAGGAACTCCAGCCCCTCAACCGCCTCCCAGGTACCCAAAATACTGCCTTTTTTTTTTTTTCAAGACAGGGTTTCTCTGTTTTGTTTCGGAGGCTCTCCTGGAACTCGCTCTGTAGACCAGGCTGGCCTCGAACTCACAGAGATCCACCTGCCTCTGCCTCCCGAGTGCTGGGACTAAAGGTGTGTGCCACCAACGCCCGGCTTCCTGACTCGTTCTTATGTTCAACCTTATCGAGTACTTATTGCATGGACATGAGGAAATGGGTACTTTGCAGGAAAACAAACAAACAAAAAGAAAACGATATCATCTCTCTTGTGTAATTAGGAATGCCAACGTGGAGAGAGTACGCTAGGTATAAAATAAATAGTCAAATCATTAAATGCATAATCGCAGGTTGCTATAAGACAGATCTGAGATGAGAAGCTGGGGAGGAGTTAGGAATAAGTCCGTTATTTTATTTTATTTTTAACCGATTTTACGGTGTTGGAGATCGAGCCAAGGGTCTTGGGTCTTGGACCATTCCGTTGTGTGTGTGTGTGGGGGGGGCTCTCTGTTCTCCAGAGTCGTTTTGTGTTTGCTTTAGCACTGAGCTATATACTCCAACCTTGACGAATCATTCGTATGCTTAAGAGAGTGTTCCTGGGTGAAAATGCTGAAGGGCGAATGAGAGCTAGCGGCTAAGTAAACGGAAGGGTGAAGCGAAGGCCTTGAGGCTAGGAAGTGTTTGCTGTGCGCTGACATTTAAAAAATAATAATTATTATTATAGAGGGCTGGGGAGATGATTCAGTCAGGAAAGTGCTCGTCGTTCAGCCATGACGACCTGGCTTCAGACCCTAGCACCCCCGGGAAAAGATTGGTGGTGTGTGCCTGTGACACCAGCCCTGGGAAGGAGGACATGAGAGGGACCCTCGGACTTGCCTGCTGTCCAGTCTAGCCAAATTGGTGGGTCCAGGTTCAGTGAGAGGCCCTGTAAAAAAAAATTAATTAATAAGGTGGAGAGCAATTGAGGAAGACACCCAGCACTGACCTGTGGCCTCTACACAAGCGAACACACCTCACACATCCATGCAAACACACACACAGATACACATGTAAAAAATTATTGTAGATGGGTTTTAAAGGATTAACATGAGGAATAAAGCCATAGGAAACGTATGGGCAATGTTGGCAAATATTTGATCCCTAGAGGACTTTGTCAGGATATATCTAAAACTTAATTATATGAAGTTCGAGGTTTCCTTTTAATGTCAAAACATTTCAGTAGCCAAGCACAAACCATAAAACATGTGTGCACCAAACGGTTGCCATCCTTACTTCGGACAGAACGCGCATCAAATTATTAGGAGGAACATTAAAATATGGATCTACTACAGTCACCGTTAAATGATTTTTCTGTAAATTTGATTCTTTGGTCATGTAGATAAGTTTATACAATTTAACAGCGTGCATACACATAGAGGAAAAATGTAATAAAATACAAGTAAAAGGCATCGGCAAAACCCTGTTAGTGCAGGCTTGGGTGAGCCTGGGACAAAGATGTGAGCTTGAGAGAATTGTCCCATTTCTCATGTCTTGTGCAGCACGGGCTGTGGGGGGAAGCCCTCCCCTCCTGCCCACCAATTCCTGGGACAGGTGGGGGAGCTGGGCCCGTGGTCATAAGAGAGGGGGAGCTATCCCCAACCTCCACGAGCTGCAGCACTTGGGGAGAGCAGACCCTGCATCCGTCAGGGCAACAACACGGATTCGACCCTGTTAGCGGAGGTGTGGGTGAGTCAGCCCCAAAATCTTGAGCACGGGACAGCTGTCTCCATTTCCCATCTGGTGGACCAACCCTACAGCTGCCCAGGTCCAGACTCAGGGTTATGCCTTGACCCGAACCAACCTCCACCGCATCTACCACCTGCTGGAGTCCGCGAAGGGACCCGACACAAAGGGGCAGTATCTCCACAACTTAGGGCGCCAGCGGGATGCTCATGACGAGTCTAGTGGGGTCCCAGCATTGAATGTAGTGTAGACCAGGGGCCTCAAAGCAGACCAATGACTCTTTACAATAAACACTTGCAAGTAGAGATGTGTGGACGAAGAAGTAGACAGCATGATTTGTTGGGTCTCACTGCAGCTTCCGTGATGAGATTTCTAATCCCCCCCCCTCGCCTTAATTTTTCTCATGTTTATTGTCTTACTTTCTCCCCCTTGAATTTTGTTTTATTCAGAGGAGGCTGCAGGGGCAGAGGGCGGATGCAAAGGGATGGGGAAATGCATGGGACCAAGGTACAAGATGTGAAAAACACATAGAAAAAAAGGAAATGTAATGAATAAAAAAGACATTGGCAAATGTTTTAGAGATGAGAAAATATGTGTGTAGTTCTATGCTGCCTGGTATATGGGAACGCCTCCCTCTCCCCCCGAGACCTTTCTGTTTTCTTCTGCTGGAAACAAAAAGTATTTTAAGTCTGAAACCATTTGTTTTATACTAGTTTTCCCTGTTTTAAGGTTTTTCTTTTCTTATTTTTGATTTTTTTTGGAGGGGGGTAATTTTTTTGTTTTGTTTTGTTTGTTTGTTTGTTTGGTTGGTTGGTTGGTTGGTTTTGGTTTTTCGAGACAGGGTTTCTCTGTATTGCTTTGGAGGCTATCCTGGAGCTCGCTCTGTGGACCAGACTGGCCTTGAACTCACAGAGATCTGCCTGCCTCTGCCTCCCAAGTGCTGGGATTAAAGGCGAGTGCTACCAACGCCCGGCTGTTTTGAGTTTTTTAACTGTATATGTATTTATGTGTGCATATCTGTGTGAGTCTGTGCCACATGTGGGTGGGCATTCTCAGAGGCTAGAAGAAGGCGTGCCAGCTCCTAGAGCTGGAGTTTTAGGTTGCAGAGGTTCTAGGAAGCAAACTCAGGCCCTTCACAAAAAGAACAAACATTCCTTACCACCGGGCCATCTCTCTAGCTCCTCGAGATTGTCTGATCACTGGCAGGAAACCGGTTTTCTCCTCAGAGGAACGAAGCTTTCTGTGTTGAAGTGTAAGGCTTCATAGAGTAGCTCAGTGGTAGGCTTGCTTCTCACAGAAGTCGCTCTCCGGAGAAGGACTCAAGCATTAGTCCCGTAGGTCTCATAATTGCCGAGCTAGAGGTCAGAGCTGGAACCTTCAGCTGCAGTGTGTTGTCAGGCACACATGTCCATTCTGGGATCGTTTTTAGTTTCCAGATCCTGGTTTCTTTCGGTCTGACCAACTTAGTTATGCATTTTGGATAATTCTGTTTTGTTTTAGCTAGAATTTCTTGATACTGAAGTATAGAGGGTTTTTTTTCTTCTAGAAATCGTTTCTCTCTGTGTGTTAGGGCCCATAAAGAGGGGTCCATCTCATCTTGCCTCAAGATCCAGAGAGTTCAAAACTGTCCTTAGACCTAAAGGTCTAAAGCTTGGCTGCTGAATGATATTTAGGCCTTGGTAGTAGATAGCCTTATCTAAATAACAACATACTTAGACTCAAAGTGTGTTTACTCTTGCAGGCATGGCTACCAAATACCTGGAAGAAAAAGGCAAATGAGTCTGTTTTCTCCTTATACAAGATAATAGAAGTCTTCTGCCATTGTCCCTACTTTTGGTTGGGTACTTCAGAATGTTGAAGAATAAATTAAGGGTGTTCAGTGTTGACTGGATTTGCCCTCCTCTATCCTGTGTCTCTGTCTCTCTCAATCCACACTCCCCCTCTCAGTTAGGAACTGGGCAAGCCAGCTGGCTCCAACTGCAGCCCCGTAAAGACAGCTTCCCACATCTGTGTGAGAGCCCTGGCTGTCCTGGAACTCACTCCGTAGACTAGGCTGGTCTCAAACTCAGAGATCTGCTTGCCTGTGCCTCCCGAGCGCTGGGATTGAAGGTGTGCCACCACTGCCTGACAAGTATAGAGATTTTCAGGTTTATTTTTCCACCGTGCCCAAACCAAAGCTCTGAATGAATCATATGGATAGGTTAGATTGCTGTTGTTCTCCCGTCTCTCCACCTAAAGAGCTACTCTTATTTATATGGGTGAAAAGACACAGCTATTTTAGTTTAGATTGTTTCTTAGAATGATGTTACAGAATTATTATTTTGACTAAAATTTCAGTTTTCCTGAACAAAAACAGCAATGCCAAACCAAACCATTAAGAAATTGATGGATGGGCCGGACGTTGGTGGCACACACCTTTAATCCCAGCACTTGGGAGGCAGAGGCAGGCAGATCTCTGTGAGTTCGAGGCCAGGTTGGTCTACAGAGTGAGTTCCAGGACAACCTCCAAAACAATACAGAGAAACCCTGTCTCAGAAAAAAAAAAAAGAAAGAAAAAAAACCTGATGGATCTGATGGATGTAATACTTCTAAAAAGGCAAAACAGCCACCAGGTTAAAAACAAAAATAGATGCATTACAGGTAGAATGTTCCCCTTCTTATTTCGGAATACATAGAAATTGGATTATCTGGGAGCCTGGGCTCTGCCGAACAATACTATAGATCCTGCTTCATCCTAGGTCTGGTCTTTGTCCTTTTAAACTGTCAATACAGAACAGGCAGCTGCAATTGGCAGCTGGGGAAGACGTGGCAGAGGATGACAAGGAGACACATTAAAGCAAGGAACCATCAGAAAAAAAGAAAGAGCCCTGCTAGACACAGGTGACAAGGAGCTTCACAGAGGGTTCTCTAAAAGTCCCATGCAATGATATGGAAAGTATTCCGTCTCCTAGGAAGCCATTGGTTTGTTGAAAGGCCTCATTTACATATTTCCAATCTGGTAGCTGTAGATTCAGTGGATATTAAAGGTCATAATAAGGAAAGGATTTTAAGCATAAATACCACAAGAACATCACTTCATATTTTTTTTTGCAGGAAACACAGAGCCTAAAGAAGTATCTGTGTTCATAAAGTGAGTAAATACACCAAAGTGAATGTTAAAAGAATTTGCTCACATTCCCCATGATAAGAAGTGCTAACACTGGGGAGCACTTGCTCCCACTACAGAATTCATCTGAAGAGGTGCAGGAAAGTCCAC